CAAGGACACAACGACCAGGACAGAGAGCCCGGGGATCGAACCGACGACCTTCCGGTTACAGATACCAGGTCAAAAGAAAACAAATTAATTCTTTTTTATTTACATTTTTATTTTGATAATTGAATATTTCCCATGGACAAGTTGGACAGTTGGACAGTTGTTAAAGTGGGTGAACTCAGGACCAAACATCATTCTTGAAAATATGCATCCCCCATAAGGAAAACCTTTTACATGTAGCACTTCAAGCACTTCAAGTGTATTTTGATGCTAATATAAACATAGAAAACATGTGGAATGGAGACCGCTGCACCACTGTATATTAGCTTGACACTGTAGTAAACCTCAGTAATGTGGTCAGAAACTGAGCCGCTACCCTGAATCTCTTGTGGGCCAAAAAACAAATGTTATAAACTGTGGTCCCCTTTTCTGGACTTTTTTTTGAAAGGCCCACGACTATTGTTCCTGATTTTTGTTTGTTTGTTTTATGTTTGGTTATGTGTTTTTTTTTTTGTTGTTGTTTAATGGTCGAGGAGAGAACTAGAATGTAAAAATTCTGAAAGTGCTTTGTATTATACATTGCACTGAAACCTTTGTCTAATAAAAAGACTTGAAAGAAGCTGCTGCTTTTGGACATCATAAGATCCTTTGTAGAAAAAGTGCCCTCTATTACACAATGACAGGAAAATGTATAGTTTCCTAAAATAAGAATACTATACGTTTTTGCAAAGGTTTTACCTCATCATACAAGCAGAAGCTAGAGTATTTCCTTCAATGTATTTTTCACTAATTCACTTTGATTTAGTGGCGACTTGCTGGCAGCAGCTTTACTTCTTGCACCTGATAGCCATTTCCCCTGTTTTAGTTTTTCCTGTTACAAGCTAAAGATGGGAAAATGGTTCAGAAAATTAAGAGTAATGCTTCATTTTTAAATACAATGGCTGTCTTCTTTTAGTGTTGTTTTTTTTTTTTTTTAATGTGGATAATTTAAAAGGCAAAAGATTGTTATGCCAACCTGCAGTATCTTCAGGGCCCACCAGGGGGATGCATCCTACACTTAAGGAATTACTGATTATGTTCTCTCCTGAGAAAAGTCCTACATGCACATTCTAACGTAATTTACTTGATTTCATGAAATTAACATCTATTCAATAAAGAGAAAAATCCTTTCGATTTTACTTATTTTATTTACTTTGACAGAAAAACATCTGGCCTAAGCGTCAGTCGATGAAGTGGTGGCCTCCCTTGCTTGCGGCGATGGATCATAAATCTTGTTAAAGAAGGAGAAGTCAGATTCAGTGCCATGTTGCGTGCCCTGAAAAGAAACATATTTAAATAATCTGATAAAAAAAAAACAAAAACAGGATTCCTGTTACCACATCATGTTTACTTACATCTATTCTGCAGTCATACAGGTCAAACACTGAGTTCTGGTTAATCGTATCGTCATCGTTCACAAATAGCTGCTGATTCCTGACCACAAAGTACAAATATTATTGAACATCAAAAACGAGCAATCACCATTAATGTGCACCTGATGTTGAATCCCTAATCACTGTTGTTAAATTTACATTTTATTATGATTTTGGTTCAGCATAACAAGGACGATGAAGATGATGATCCCAGCAAGAACAATTAGCCCAACTGCAAGGCCGACAATCATACCTGCACACAAAGAGAACCATGATGAATGCACATTCAAACAGATGACTGTTTTTCCAATATTTCACTTTCTGAAAGACGAAGCTGACAATATTCAGAGATGTTCTTCTTATCAGTGAAGGCAGATAAAAGCACATAAATGAGCAGTCAAATACACACTGTCCTGTGGAGGTAAACAACCTAGACATATATAACTATTACATGTATCGATTTTCAGTGTTTAGTCCTGTTTGATTTGTTTTAAAAATTAACTTCAAGCTGCCAAAATCAAATGATAAATATTCGTGACCCATTTAAAGTATTGGGAGTAAATACTAAACAATTGGGAGTAAACCTTGCTTGGCAGTCTGTGCTATAAAGTGCAAAAGAAAAAAAAAAGAGACAGTGTCTGCCCCAAATATTAATGCAAATAGGTGTTTTGCTATGGTCATTGGGGATAATATGTAAACCCACAAATAATTTGTCGTTTTTTACATAAGAAAAGCATTTTTCCACAGTACAAGAAATTATTTTCTTCTAGTTTTCTATGAAAAACATAGTAAGACGTATTTATGAAGTATCCTCCGGGGGCCTATAGTTACCCTTATTGTCAGAGTGATCAATGGGAGGCTCTGTGTAGCAGCTGCCTGGGATGATGGTGATATCATCAAGAGCAACGTCCCCACCTGCCGTCCTGCCTCGCTGATACACAAACACAAACTGTGGCGAAGGAAAGAGAGAGAAGTTTAAAGGTTACATATATATCTAAAAAAAACATGAAGCAGACTGTAGCGAGGCAATGTAACTGTTAAATATATACTGCTGCCCACCTCTGAGCTCACACAACTGTGTACAAATCACATAAGAAGAATAAAATTACTTCCATGCAAAAACAAAATTATGATCCAGACTGCTTAAATTAAAGGGATTTGTATATCACTGTATGGGTGTATATGAGTGCTTAATTCCATGAAGGAAGTCGGTGAGTCGCAGGTTTAACAAAAGAACTGCTGTAATAACAAACAATCTGTAATTTAAATGTAAATAAAGTCTTAAAGCCCATAAATACAAGTGCATTTACAGCATGTATGCCATCGCCTATAAATTCAAACGTTTGCTCCTGACATCTGTCACAATCCCCAGACAATGAAGGCTTTGAGAGAAAGTGAAATACTCAGCCACAAATTATATAAATCCTCAGTAAACCCATTCAAATACATAATCTCTTAAGTGCTGCTGTTAGGTTAATATTTCAGTGTTTTGTTAATGCTGAGGTTCATGAAGGGTTTGCATAAAAATCCTTGTCAGACCTTCTCTGCATAACTGACATTAACATTTTGTCCATCCATAAGTAAAATTATCATTAAATATTATAAAGAACCAACTGAGAAGAACTGTTACGCATCAAAGAGCAAAGTTAAAACACGAGGAGCAATCAGGTCATCAAATGTTCATCGTATGATAACGACAAAAGCAGTGCAATACACACGTCCACGTCGTGACGCTGAATAAGATGAAACTGAATAAGTCATCATTTTAAATATATACCATAAGAATATAATATTACAACTGTAAGTGTTAAAACAAATAAATCAAATGTAGTGATAATGCAGCAGTAATTTATATAGCAATTACTCTCACCTAGCACTCAAAGCCTTTTTTTTTTTTAACAGAAACATTTTTATATGATGTGGGGCCCGGGGATCCACATCTGAAAAGCACATAGTTTAAATCCTGAGTCACCAGGACCTGGGTTTGTTTACGTCCAAAGGTACAAAGTGGGTAACCACTGTACAACCCATACCCCTATTATTATTATATGTATATATTTTTTAAAATGGAGTAATTTTAGACTTCTAAAGTCAACTCCTGCCTTTGTTGACAGCCATCATGAAAATTGGCTAATGGGCTTTATCAAAAAGCAATCATAAGAGTTTTTGTTCCAAATGTGTTACTTGTGTCCACCTGTGAATCATTTCTCTGTAATGGTAAGTAATCTGTAATGTAATCTGCTGCAATATAAAATCAACATTTCATTTTTCACTTTTATATTTTGTGTATTTCTCCACATGAAACTTATCACAAGCTCAGTAATACCCAGAATGCTTCATCATGTGTGACAGACACATTTGCCATCTGCCACTTTTCTCCCTTGTTTCCTGTTTCAGTCCACTTCAATAGGCCTACTTCATCACCACCAGCCTGCATTTTCCTGCAAGACAGGATGACACCCATTTATTTTATGTAATGCAGAAAATTTCATTAGTATAATAATATTGTTTAATATTGATGATCTTCAGACAGAAGTATTTACCTGTTATTTATATAGACACGGAGGGTCCCAACATGGTTTCCATACATGTGGTACCAGAATGTGAGACAGTGCCCTCGTGTGGAGGGCTGTAAAACATCACTGACCAGGAAGGATGAGACTCCCCACTCACCCACAAAACTGTCCACGTAAACATAGTGACCTGATGGAAACACAGCAAGCACATTCACATTAACAATAGCAGCAAGTGTCATAAAAAACTGTGATTTCAAACAAGCATGCATATCAAAATAATGAACAACAAAAGAATTTCCCTCAGGATAAAGTTCTTCTTATCTTATCTTATCTTATCTTATCTTATCTTATCTTATCTTATCTTATCTTATCTTATCTTATCTTATCTTATCTTATCTTATCAGATGGTATACTTCCTTTAGGCCATAGTGCTGGACATGGTGGACTTGCTGACTACAAATCTGGTAAACTGATACCTTTTTTCCAATTGTACATATAATAAGGTTTATGTATTTGTACACAGTCTACTGATGACAAATTATTCTATATAATCAATTCTGTCTCTATGCGGAACCTTATTGGTGATTAAAACTGCTACAATCAATATTTATATTCTATTTAGAATTAATCTAATTAATCTATTTATATATCTGGAGACTATCATAGACTCAGGCAACTAAGAACACCTCCAGGTTCCTTCAAGACCAGGGGAGACCCAAAAAAGACGTAAAATAAAAGTGAATGTTAGATTCAAGAACATCAGGTTAATGCAAACATTGAATAAACTTAGCTCTATATTTGCTGCTTGTGTAAAAAGTGACCTCCTGCTAACAGTTTTGTCGTCTGGTTTACAGCTTGCTTCTGCATTAGGCATTGAGCCAAGTGTTTCATGCATGAAAGTTCAAACAGTCAGTGCTCATTTGCTATTTCTCACGAGCCAATAATTGTAAAGTGCTTTATTCCCACAATGATTCTTTATGAATGCTGCTTGAGTCACTCATGCTGTATAACTGAACTCATGGCAATTGTGTTTTTCATGCATCTGTAAAGTTCACTTTTTGTCTCTATCCGGTATAGTTACTACCTTGTGTGGATTTAGTAGTGTGATCCACACTGGGTCCTGTATGTGGGTTCGGGGAACCACCACTGCCACGGAGCCAGTCTCCCTGGTCGACTCCTTCACCCAGGTTGCTCCAGCTACACATCGTGTCCTCAAAGTCACAAAATCCACGAGGAAGACACTGATCATCAGTCAGCTGTACATCATCAATAGCCATGTCCCCCTCCTGTGTAGGGCCAGCCTTCACACCTTCCACCACAATCTGAGACACAAAGCATGTACACCAGATTTTAAAAAATCTTAGTGGAAGAGTTATTTTAGTGTTATTTTATATTTTTGTATCATTTCCGTGACACTGCACTGTTGTACACTCAAAGTACTGTTACCAATTAATGTGCTACAATTTGTGTTTGCCCAAGAAAATAAACTCTCACAGTAATATGTGTTTATGCAGTTTTATGTGATCAGGTTTTGAAGTATTGGTCTTCTGTTTTTTTGTAGATTACTCTAATTCACCACATTATTACCAGGAAACACTTTACTGTTTTCTGAGAACAACTAGTGCATGGGTTTCAACTCCATTTTACAAAAACAACAGACTTTTTTCTGCACAACACAACAATTAAATGAAAATATAACACCTCTTATTATTTTGAATATTTACAGATGTTGTTCAAACACAGTCAAATTAAGCAGCATATCAAAGCAACATAAAGGAAATGGCTTACAAATATATACAGTTGTAGTAATGAAAAAAAAAAACACTTCCAGAGTTTACTTGTGTAACAATACCACAATGTAGTGGAAGTGAAAGTACAGTGTCATCAAAAAAAAGAACAACCTCAGTGGTGAGTAATAATACTGATTATGGGGACATAATGACCCACAGCAGGGTTAAACCTGTATTAAAATGTACTAATATTTTATAATTATATTTATAATTACTGAATTAACAGAAAAGCATTAACTATGTTTTATATTAGAATAAGGTGAAGCTCATTTAACTATTTATTACTTTTTAAAATAATTCAATTACTGAAGCTAAGTTGTTTTTACCAGTAAGCAAAGCTGTTAAAAAAATATAGAATAAAAACAACTAAAATAAATATATTTCCCCCTGAAATGCCAAAATTTGAGTGTGAAAAATTAAAAATGTATTTAGACACTGTACTGCTTTTTTTTGTTGTCTGTGCATCTATTTGTTCACACGTTTATTTATGTAACTGTTTTTGTGCCTCTGATCAAGGCACTGGTTTACAGCTGGAGCGCTGCCCTCTGCTTCAGTACGTACCGAATACACAAAACTAATTTTCTCACTGGACTAAATAATGATGACTTAAATTGCTCTGTTCACTAGTTTGGATGGATCTTTGTGACTCACTCTGTAAGGATGAAGCCGAGGCAGAAGAGAAGCCTGAGCAAACCTCCACAGAAGGCCCTGGTCTCCTGTCTGAGAGAAAATCAGAGCTTCCTTCCCATCTTCACTTTGCTGGTAAACATTTAGTGTCCCCATTCCTTTGCCATACATGTGGTACCACAGCTGCACGCAAGATCCTTTGTCTGAAGGACAAGAAAACCCACATCTGAATCCCCTGAACTGTTTTGGCCCTGTTTGAACGCAGGCCCCTGTCTGCATTATATAAAAATACTGCTGAGTCTCTCACCTGCTGGGTACAGAGGTGAAAACATTGCAGCTTTCTGGCCAGCTCGGTCAGTAGAGGATGAAGGCAGGTAGAAGTAGTGACCCGTAGGTGTGCTGGTGGTGTGGTCGCTCTCCGGTCCTGTGTAAGGGTTGTGAGTATATCCCTGATGTCTGATCCACTCAGAATCACCGGCTGCTTGCTGCTCCCAGTTACAGCTCCCATCCTCAAAGTCACACAAATCTGTACAACATTATTACATTTTAACTTAATCTGAGGACATTAGACATGATAGTTTTCGATTAACACTGTAATATCAGTTGCAGTTAATTACATTACTGTCTGCTTGTTAGCTATATGTGCTCCCTGTGCATTGGATAAGACTAGTTCTGCTGCAGTTTCAGTGAGCTGCTAAACTATTATGTATTTTGGTCAGAGAGCTTCTGTTTGAAATCTAATAGAGCAAATGAATGAAATTGGAGTCTAAACTTCAGTAAACATCTCTTTGGAAGGGGTGGATGTTGGGATGATGGAAGTTTGAAACATCAGAGAGAGATGCAGCTGACAGAGGATGAAATAAAAATTTGGCAGCTTCCTCACAAATTTTGGAGGGCTTGTTTTTGGTATCTGGGGAGAGGAGAGTGTGAGGCAGGGCAACTTGAAATGCCCACGTGAAGTACCTGGTATGTTTTTATACGCTTATTGCATCATTTTTAAAATGAATACTTGCAAAATGACTATTACACCCCCACTTAGCATTTTATTTGATCTATACAGCTAGAAAACTGAAAAGGAATATTATAATTACTTAACATGTGTAGCAAAAATAGCAAATAACAGACATTAATGTGGTTGCTTGGAATTTTTTTTTATAATTTTCAGCTCCATTACTAGAAACAGGACATGCTCCAGGACTCAAGGAGATGTCATCGATGGCTATGTCTCCAGCCTCTCCCCCCACTGCTGCCTCCAGAACAACCTGGTGGACTTTCTGCACGTTCACATGGCTCTGAACCTGCAGCCACTCATCTCCTTGGTTTCCTGATTTTTGCCACACCTACAGGAAAGACAGGATGTTGATTCACTCATCCCAATAAGGATGTGAGGAGGATTTTTGCAACACAGTGTTATGCACTGAAAGTGTGCATCTTGCATTCATTATGCCATGCATTAATGTGATTTTGCAATCAGCATTTCACAAGAATGTGAAAAGTATAATAACACAGAGAAAAACACAGTGGAAACAGCCGCAAATATTTCTCAATCGGCCACACAGACGTTTTTTTCCCCTTTTTTTCCTGCAGTAAAGGGAAGTAACGTGTCCAGACTAAAACGGCATGACTAACAAAAAGAAAAAAAGAAAAAACCTAAGTGGCCTTCTTAAGGCCTCTGCCATATTTTTTGGCGTTCACTGGATAAAACAAATTGAGAAAATGACTAATTTTATGCATATTTTTACCAGAGTTTTCTCTAAGGGATCAGATGTTTGCAGGAACATCTTGAGGGAACCCACAGTGGCTCCAAACATGTGGTACCAAAATGAAAAACAGTATCCTTTTTCACCAGCAGGTGGAAGCAGTGAAGACTTCAGCTGGGCTGAATCACCCTTTATGCTTGGTGAGGAACTCTCAATGTAAAGGTATTTCCCTGTGAAACAAAAACAAGACAACTTCAATGTCTCAACCTTTTAATAAAAAATAAATTTGCAACTTATGTCCTAAGCTTGCATATGTGGCGTGTGAGGAGTGATGCTCCACTTTCACATTGTCTCACACTGAGTCATAAAAAGTTTAAAGGGAGAATTTTAGAAACCAAAATTTGAGAAATGCTAAAAGTAAAAAGAAATAGACATTTTGTAAGACTATAATTTTATGTAATCATGCCACTGCTTCAAGCAATACAATACTATTTCTTTTTGGTTATATAGTCCCAAAAACTAAGCTAATGTTTATAACAATTTATGAAAACTGCCCAGTTAATCAATTTTAAGCTTTAACTGTGGAATTAAGATGCACCATCTTGCAGTTAGTCTTACAGGATTTGTCTTTTATGTGCATTCTGCCATTTTGTGATGGACATTACTCAGTCTGTCCTGTTCACTCAGGTCTACTTGTTATCATGTCAACAGTCAATTTGCATTAATGGTCACTTGTGGTTATAGTGGCTGATGCTCAGCAAAGGTTACAAAGGCCAGCCTTGAAGGACACTAGGCATCTGGCACTTGCATAAATATGCAACAATATTGTGACTAGCATAATGAAAGTTTTGCATGAGGTAAAAGGACCTTTGCTGCTGGTGTGGTCTCCTGCAGGCCCGGTGTTAGAGGTTTGAGTGGGACCTGCCCCGCTAAGCCAGTCCAGCTGATCCTCAGCCCCCTGAACCCAAGCACACAGGCCATCTTCAAAAGAACAGCCAAAGGATGCCAGAGCTGAGAAGGGAAGGAAAACAAAAATAATCCGGGAAGTCTGAACATGGCACAAAAATGGATATAAAATGATACATGCACCACACTCATTCCCCTACCTCTCATGTCATATATTCACTAACAGTCACTTTGAATTAACTTTATTTACCTGGAGGTTGGTAGGGTTTTTCACAGTTTAGGAAAGAGATATCATCCACAGCAACAACATGAGAAGCAGCTGCATTATTCACGCCACTGAACAAAACCTGGTGACAAAAAATGGTCAGGCACTTTTTAATGATTAGTATTTATTATTTATTATTATATGAAACTCATTTGTTCTCATTGCTTCCCGTGTACATTTTTCATTGTTGAGAGGAGGCAAAATCAAACACCTTATAAGGCTGTTGGTGCAGGCCGAGAGGCAGATGCTCCGGGCTCCAATGAGAGACGGTGCTGTGACTACGTGACCACAAGATTGCTTCACTCCCTCCAGCTTGCTGCATAAGCACTCTGAGTGACCCAGCGCTCTCTGCACTGATGTGGAAGTGAAACCTGTGTGTAGGAAAGAAGGAAGGAAGAAGCAGAGAGAGCGTTGGATTGGGAAGACACTTGCATGGTAGAAAGAGGGGAGGGGAGCTTTGAAGCATTGAGCAATTCATACACGGACATATCCATCAAATATGTCCATCAAAATAAACAGATTCGACGCGATCATTTGTCTGCGCATCACTGCTTACCGAATCTGGCAGTAGGGGGACGAAGGAGACAGCGGGGGACTCTCGAGTTGAGCTTCACTCTGTGTAGACCCCTTACTGAAATTAACTCTCATGTAGTAGCCTGAGAATAACAGACACCTGGTGATTAAACACGCTGTGAAGTGAAGCTATGACAATAACATCAACGAACTACTTAATAACAGCCACCTGTGTCTGCAGTGTGATCAGTGGGTGGCTCAGTGTTGTTACTGGCTCGCTGCCTCTGCCACTTGCTCTGTCCATCGCTAACATCAGTCCATCGGCACTGATCATTCTCAAATGTGCACGGACCTGAAGGGTTCAAATCAAGAAGTAACACTGCTGTGGAAATCACTCGCTCAAGAGAAGTAAACTGCTTTTAAAAGATTTTGTGTTGTATGCAGGTGCGTCAGTCAAAGGAATTTCTGCTGATAAAACAGTCACAATATTCATGGTCATCACGGCCAAAGAAAAAACAGGTGCTGGGCCCAAACACAAGCCTCAAAAGAAAGAAGCGCATAACTGATCCAGTTTTCTCCTGTTAAAGGCATACACGAGGTTTTGGTGGCAATTACAGTGCTGTGAAAGCGTTTTGCCCCCTTCCTGAGTTCAAAAGGCAGTTTTGATGATTTCATTTATTAAGGGAATAAAAGCTATGCAAACCTACTAGTCTCCCATATATGAAAAGTACTCACCCCTTAAACCTAATAACTGTAAGTCACCACCCTTGGCAGCGAAGCGTTTGCGATAACGAATCGTTCACATTGCTGTGGAGGAAGTTTGACCCACTCTTCTTTGCAGAATTGTTATAATTCAACCACATTGGAGGGTTTTCTAGCACAAACAGCCTATTTAGGGTTATGTCAAAGCACTAAAATTGTCATCAAGGCTTACAAATCACAACACTGCATAAGTGTGCGAGGACTTAAATTTCTTCTTTCATTGGCGCTGAAATTGCACATGACCTGTTTGGGGATAAGTGTGCAACTCATTTCTATGCAGAGTCCATCTGTATCTGATTTCTTGCGCTTATGAAAACTTTCCCAACTATTCCAGTGCTTCTTTTTTATACAGCACGGCTTAAAAAAATGAATATTTGGCATAAAAAAAGCCTGAGAATAAAACTATCTTTATACAGTGGATAAACACTGTAAGTAAGAGTGAAATTTCATAATACTGTTTGGTAATATTTACTCCACCATATTTACTGTCAAAATGTAAAAACACTACTCATAATGAAATTCAGCAGCACCACAACATGCAGGCTTTAAAATGGGATGAATTTACCATTTTAACCATTGCAAAGGAGGAATTTTTTTAAGGATTGTCGCAGTAGGTTACATTAGCATTTAGAGGACTACAGAAGTGTATTTTATGGCAGCGTTACTGTTTTAGATGACCTCTCCAACTAGCCACATTCAGGAAAAACAGTGATTAGATGGCCTTTTCTCAATAGTTTTTTTTGCCACAACTTTGATAATAACACTTTTTTCAAGACAAACTTCTTGCTAGAAACACTGAATACAATATGCAGCTCTCACCACAGCCGGCTTCGTCTTCCCCCTGCGGGCAGTCTAGATGATAGTTACATTGTAAGGTAGCCAGAATACACACTTTTTCCGGTGACTGCCAGCAAAAAAACTCATTATCCTGCATCAGGAAAAAAAAGCGACAAATACCCACTGTGTATTTAGACTTGTTTATAATTTATGTTTTCTAAGTTTGCTATCACATAAATAAAGTCAGATTCTGCAGCTTACCTGACAGGGGTTTATTGGTGCAGTAGAGGTCAAGTGTGGAGAAGTGGGTGTGTTAGAGGTTGATGGTGGGGCAGAGGTCGACGACAGGTCAGGTAGCTCGCTGTTGTCGGGGTCAAATACACAATCCCTGGAGAAAGATACATCGTCCAGTGCAACCAGACCTCTGGGACCGCCGCCGAGCTCATACCTAAAGGCAATCTGAGGATAAAACAGAGATTAGACTGTGGCCTTTTAGCTATTATTCTGCTAGGGAGCAGCTCTGATACAACACATAATTATATTGTACATATAAGAAGTATTCATTCATCTACAGATACTTTCACTTTTATGCAAAGGCCTCAACAGTCTTTTTGGTCTTATAATTCTAATAATGTCTGTAAGCTTCAGGGATTTAAGCCTATTATTTAAGTTGATGTCTAACAGCATTTATACACATGAGGCAGTGGCTGCCATTCAATTAACTGCTTGTGTCCTCACTAACCTTGCTGCTGGCTGCGGAGGACAACGTAACCTCGGCTCTCTGCCAGCTGTAGCTTTGTGATGCTTCCCTGGTCCATAAAACTCTGTCGTCACTACCGGACCGTAGAGTCCTGGACTGTGCAGTTAGTCGGCCTGAAGCATCATTCAGGCTGAAGTAGAAGAATCTCACCTGAAAGTATTGCAACAGTACCGTGAGCATAAAAAGAACGGGCTGACGACAGGATGGTGTTTGCTAAAGAATTCTTGTAGACTCAGCAACCTGCAGGAGTAGTTAATACTTTACTGCAATTACTCAAGATAAGAATCAGAAAGGTAATAAAAATATGTGTAGATAAGCATTGTTATTACTGTAGTATAATTACAGAAGTGTTCAGCAGTTTTTATTTGCACTGTGCCCCATAAGTGCTTCAAATAGATGCTATTAAATACATCAAAGGTTATTATTATTATCTCCTGCAGTTTGTCAATCTGTCAAGATTTTGTCCCCATCAGCTATTGCTATTATCTGTATTAATGAAACCACTGCAGCATATTAAGAGCTTATTAACTTCCTGCTTTTTCTCCCCATTTGACATTTTGGTGATTTTCTTTTAGCTTTTATGTAGCTTTGTGACATGACTTGTCAGTAGCCTAAAAAACACAAGGTGGTGTTTTTCTGTAAACAACACTTTAATTTACATACAGTAAACTCACAGTGCAATTAAAGCTGGGCAATAAAGTTTTGGACAGAATCTCTGCTGTCTCGCCACTTGCAGTCAGGTGAGTTCCAGGTATAATGTAGTGACCTGTTTGGATAAGAGGGGATTAAACAATAAAATAAATCACAGCATTACTGATTC